TGCAACTTTGTTTCCTTTGAATCTGGCATTATCAAATTAAGAAGTTTTAACTGGAGTCTTCCATTACTTGCTCAAACTATTTTTTATCATTCAAATGTTAAGAAACTGAATACTTTGTATGTACCTACAAATGCATGTAGCAATTTATTGTTACTTTTTTCTTGTGATTTGAGCAAAGGCTTATAAAAGATATTGTCCTCCTTTGTACATTTTGGTGGGTTGGGGGGGGGGGTTCAATTGTATCAATCTCTTTTTATGCTTTTAGTACTCTTTTCTACTGTTTACCACTTCCGTTTGTAATGATGAGATGTGTTAAGGATACACTTGAAATGATGATGGTCCTGCTATGAACACTTTCCCTTTATCTCTTCAGAATGAAGACTTGATTCTTGTGTTTATATTCCAGTCCCAGAAATTGCTTAACTGGAGAGGTTATCTAAAAGTCTCATACTTTATGACCAACATCCTGGTGCTGGCTGCTTCGACACCAGGGGATGAGTTTATATAATATTCTACTATAAGGCATTCTCAATTAAGCTTAAATGTATTTTATTTTTAGACAACTTACAACAATTTTATTTTCCTTTTTAAAAAACTGTTTCCACTCCAGGAAATAAATTATTACATATAGGTAAACAATCCCATGAAATGAAAATCTTAATGTATGACTGTTCTGAGCCAAATTCTAAAGATGAAAATAAATATATTTCTATGTGGAAATTCTAAAAAAAATATTTCCACTCCAAATAAATCGAGGACAAAATCAAATGAAGAGCTTTAGATGGCATCTGACCCATTTGTTTAAATTCTCATGTTGTGTCAATGAAAACCAGCAGCCAGTTAAGATGACAAGTAATGGATTCAAATAAGTGACAAATTTGTTAACATTTCTCCATTTCTAAGTCATCCTTAAATAATGAAAGGGATTGCACCATTCTCAAGGTAATCCAGCAAAACAAGCATGCCATAGGGATTCATGCTTTCACCAATAAAGAACTGGTTGTTGTTCTTATGTGCCGTCGAGTTGTTTGCGACTCATAGCGACCCTATGTACAACAGCCCTAAACCCTGCTCTATCCTGTGCCAATCGCACTGCCTCCGACACACTCATCCTGATTACCCCAGTCACTGAATCAATCCACCTCATAGAGGGTCTTCCCCTCCTGCGCTGTCCCTCCACTCTACCCAGCATGATGTCCCTCTCCAAAGACCTGTCTCTCCTTGCAACATGTCCAAAGTATGTCAGACGAAGCCCCAGAATCTTTGCCTCCAAGGAGTAGCCTGGTTTAACCCTCTCTAGGATGAATCTGTTTGTTTTCTTGGTAGTCCATGGTACATTCAATACTCTTCTCCAGCACCACAGCTCAAAGGCATCAATTCTCCTTCTGTCCTCCCTAGCATTGTCCAACTCTCTGATGCATAACAAGTGATTGCAAAGACCATGGCCTGTATCAGGCGCACCTTAGTCCCCAGAGAGACACCGTTGCTCTTGAGTACTTTAGAGAGGTCCCTAACATCAGACTTTCCCATCGCAATACGTTTTTTTATTTCCTGGTTGCTGGTGCCAAGAGTGTTGACTGTGGAGCCGAGCAAAATGAAACTGTGAACAATCTCAATCTCTTCGCCATCCATCCTGATGCTACCAATTGGTCCAGTGGTGAGAATCTTTGTCTTCTTGACATTGAACTGGTAGTTTATTTAAATTGTCAAGGATGTGCGTCATCTGTTCTGCAGCCCATCATAAAAGTTTTATTCCTTCTGGTTTCTGTTCATCAAGTTTGCCTTTGATTGGTTTCATGTCATACTTGATGTCTTTCTTCTTGGTTTCTTTTGTGAAGCTGGTTTCCTGCCTGTGAAAATCGATGACCACATCAACACCAGTGATTACCAGTGATTAGCTTTTGGCTCCTTCACAATCGTTGCTGGCAGGTGAGGCATTTCGTCCAGTGAACAAGTCAGGAATGTTACCCTCTCCAACCACAAACGAATGGATTAAGAAATTATGGTACATTCACACAATGGAATACTACGCAGCACACAGGAGCAATGATTTTGTAAACTACTACCTACCTTGGGAGGGACTGGAGAGCATTATGCTGAGTGAACTCGGTCCCACGAGGACAAATATTGTATAAAACCATTATTGTAGAATGAGTAAAGGATCCAAGAGGGGGTGGGGGAGGGTGGAAGCAGAGGAATGAGGATGGGCAGTGGGAGGGAGGAATTAATCATGAGTTGTACAATTTGATGGGGGTGGTAAGGGAAATTGGAAGAATCTGTTCTGGCAAACAATAAATTCAAATTTTGTAAATAAACTAGTATGAAAAAAAAACATGTTACTCTCTACCCTACTGACCATCCTACTACCTCCACCTCCAGGCACAGTCTGACTGGGACCTCCCAGATCTTGTAAACGTCAGAGAACATCTTATGCTGCCCCATCCACAATGTAACTGCACGTTTCCCCATTTAGTCCTAGGACTTCATATTTTCATTAGCCTTCTCCTCAATGGTTTCTTGCCTCAGGAACCTATTGTTGGCAAATGCTACATTTGATTTTTTATGTCAGGTTTCTTAGTCTTTCTAGTAAATAAGCTGTTATTTGTCCACCTTATATACCTGTGAACTGGTTAAAAGCTGGACCACAGCTTGTTTTTGCCCAAAGCCTAATGGTCATAGTTTCAAGAGTTCCACCAATCCCTACGGGATCCCTGGCATTGTTGTTATGTGCTGTCATTTGCGACTCATAGCAACCCTATGTACAACAGCCCTAAACCCTGCTCTATCCTGTGCCAATTGCACTGTCTCTGACACACCCATCCCGATTACCCCAGTCACTGAATCAATCCACCTCGTAGAGGGTCTTCCCCTCTTGCGCCGTCCCTCCACCCTCCCAAGCATGATGTCTTTCTCCAAGGACCTGTCCCTTCTTGCAACATGCCTAAAGTATGTCAGACAAAGTCCCAGAATCCTTGCCTCCAAGGAGCAGCCTGGTTTAACCCTCTCCACGATGAATCTGTTTGTTTTCTTGGTGGTCTATGGTACATACATTCAATACTCTTCTCCAGGACCACAGCTCAAAGGCATCAGTTCTCCTTCTGTCCTCCCTAGTCATTGTCCAACTCTCTGATGCATAGCAAGTGATTGCAAAGACCATGGCCTGTATCAGGCGCACCTTAGTCTCCAGAGAGACACTGTTGCTCTTTTGTCTTATTACATTATATTTTTTTAAACATATATAGCAATTCTATAGATGCTATTGTTCTTAGGTGCTATGGAGTCCATTGTGACTCACAGTGATCCCATGAACAGACCTGAATCTTCCCATCGTGACCCTTCCTCGCTATCTGATATGCCCCAGCTTGTTGTTACAGTAACTGTGTCAAAACAACTTCTTCAAAGTATCACTCTCTTTTTCTTCTCCTCCACCTTTCCTAGCAGGATGCATTAGAACTCCAACTAAATTGTTGGGAAGAAATAGGACCCTGAGAGATAGATGAGAAGACAAAGAGGAAGCAGGTGGTAAGTTCCTGAATCCTTCTGAACCAGTCCTCCTATCCCCACCTGATGAGATTAATTCAGATGTAATATATGCATCTGAGTCTACAAATCCCTGAGTCAGCAGATGCTTTTATAAGGCATTAATTTGATCCCCAAAATTCTCTCACCATCTATTTTTGCTTCTGGACTCATACCTAGAGATAAATTCCAGTATGCCCCTAAGCTAAACTACAAATCATGTCCCAGGAATAGGTGACACTCCCAAATGAAATGCTCCATTAGGTCAGGCCACTTCATAATGGGAGGAAGTCCTAAAGTGGGTTAGTCCTAAAGAAATGTGCTGCCAACACAGGACACGGTGTGAATGTACCAGCTGCTCCACAGAAGATGGGGCCATCTCCTCCTGCACGATTTACTGCTTCTGAAAATCATTCTGGAGGGTCAGCTTCGGATTGAATCTGACTTGACACCAGCACCAGCACCACCCCTCTTCATAGGAGTTTTGGTGCCCCGGTGCCTAGAATCGTATCGCTAATAACAAATCGTGTGCTTCTCTGGGGTTTAGAATCCAGTACAATCAGTGACTATAAACTTATGAGTTAAGACAACTGAAGGTGGGAATTTAGCTCCTCCACAAAAAAAATTCAGCCAACTTCCACCTTCAAGAAATCTACAAGGAGGTACTGAGGTGGGGCATGTCAAGTTATTCCAACTAATTTGAGGGATAAGTTCTTGCATCTGTTTTCTCCCAGAATCAAAGACAGACTTTTTTGGGTGGGCCTCTGAATTTTGGAAGCAAGATGTTCCTTATTTATCTGTACTTATCAAGTGATTCCATTAATGAACAGAGGGAACCATTCTGCATACTCACTGGGCTCCAGGTTAATAGAAAGGAAGATGAACTACCTTACCTCAAGTCATACACAAACACCAATTCAAGATTAATCAGAAATGTAAGAACTGGGTGAGACCTCTGTGACTCTGATTGTTGTTATGTGCCATCGAGTCACTGGTGACTCATAGTGACCCTATGTATAATAGCCCTAAACCCTGCTCTATCCTGTGTCAACCTCGCCGTCTCTGACACACTCATTCCCATCACCCCAATCACAGAATTGATCCCTATCATTGAGGGTCTTCCTCTTCTGTGCCGTCCTTCTCCAAGGACCAGTCCCTCCTTGCAACATGCCCAAAGTATGTCAGATGAAGCTTCAGAATCCTTGACTCCAAGGAGCTGCCTGGCTTCACCCTTTCCAGGACAAACCTGTTTGGACTCTGATTAGGCAATGGAATCTTAGAGAGGAAAACATTTATGTAAATTGGACTTCATTAAATAAAAACCTGTTGTGCTTCAAAGGGCATTATCTAGAAAGTAAATACACAGAATTAATAAAATGCTGTTTCAAATGAAGGATATGTATGCAGAATATGAAGAATTTTACAATTCTTCTGGGTAAAGCCTTGCATGTAAACGAGGAAAAAAAGATGAAGTTCTTAACCAGGGTGTTTCCTCTGGTGTGTGATAAGATTTGACTTCTGGGTAAAGCCTCGCCCGCACTCCTTGCAAACATAAGGCTTCTCTCCTAAGTGGGTCCTCTGGTGTTTGACAAGAGCTGAATTACAGCCAAAGCCTCGCCCACAGTCCTTGCAAACAAAAGGCTTGTACCATGAGTGTGACCACTGGTGTGAGAAGAGCGTTGACTTATGGGTAAAGCCTCGCCCACACTCTTTGCAAACATAAGGCTTCTCCCCTGAGTGTGTCCTCTGGTGTGAGATGAGAGATGAATTACAGCTAAAGCCTCGCCCGCACTCCTTGCAAACAAAAGGCTTCTCTCCTGAATGGATCCTCAGGTGTTTAATGAGAGTTGAATTGCAGCTAAAACCTCGCCTGCACTCTTTGCACACATAGGGCTTCTCCCCTGAGTGTGTCCTCTGGTGTGAGATGAGAGTTGAATTACAGCTAAAGCCTCTTCCACACTCCTTGCACACATAGGGCTTCTCTCCTGAGTGAGTCCTCTGGTGTTTGATGAGAGTTGAATTACAGCTAAAGCCTCGCCCACACTCCTTGCACACATAGGGCTTCTCCCCTGAGTGTGTCCTCTGGTGAGAGATGAGAGTTGAAATAGAGCTAAAGCTTCGTGCACACTCCACACAAACATAGGGCTTCTCCCCTGAGTGTGTCCTGTGGTGTTTGACCAGAGTCGAATTACAGCTGAAGCCTCGCCCACACTCCTTGCAAACAAAAGGCTTCTCCCCTGAGTGTATCCTCTGGTGTGTGATGAGATGTGACTTCTGGGTCAAGCCTTGTCCACACTCTTTGCAAACATAAGGCTTCTCTCTTAAGTGTGTCCTCTGGTGTGAGGTGAGAGTAGAATTACAGGTAAAGCCTCTTCCACACTCCTTGCACACATAGGGCTTCTCTCCTGAGTGAGTCCTCTGGTGCTTGATGAGAGTCGAATTACAGGTAAAGCCTCGCCCACACTCCTTGCACACATAGGGCTTCTCCCCTGAGTGTGTCCTCTGGTGTGAGATAAGGGTTGAATTACAGCTAAAGCCTTGTCCACACTCCTTGCAAACATAAGGCTTCTCTCCTGAGTGCGTCCTCTGGTGTTTGATGAGAGTTGAATTACAGCCGAAGCCACGCCCACAGTCCTTGCAAACATAAGGCTTGTACCCTGAGTGTGACCACTGGTGTGAGAAGAGATGTGACTTCCGGGTAAAGGCTCGCCCACACTCCTTGCAAACGTATGGTTTCTCTCCTGAGTGTGTCCTCTGGTGTGTGTTAAGGGATGACTTCTGAGTGAAGGCTCGTCCACACTCCTTGCAGACATAAGGCTTCTCCCCTGAGTGTGCCCTCTGGTGCGTGATGAGATGTGACTTCTGGGTAAAGGCTCGCCCACATGTTCTGCAAATATAAGGCTTCACCTGGAATGGTGATCTTTGGTTTGTGGTGAGGTTTAACTTTAGGACACAGTCTGGGTCTGGGTCTTCTTCTCCAGAGGCTACTGTTGTAAATCCCGAGGTTTTTAATTCTTTCCCCCATTGTTCTAGTTCCACAGGGTTCATCCTATGGACTGTGTTAGACTCCAGGTTCACCCCTGTCTCAGCTTCAGCTTCTCTACAGCTTGCTGGCTCTCTTCTGGGCAGGCAGGGAAAAGTCTTGGAAGTCTTTCCCTGCGCTGTTCTTCCATCCATGGGTGTGGAGATTTCTTTCTCTTGAGCTTCTGCACTGCTCTGAGCAGAAAGCTGCTTCTGAGGCCCTGGGCTGGATGTCCTTGGGTGGAAGTGATGTTCTGCACATAATCCTTGGAAGATCTGTAGCACATGTTGGCTGAGGAACTTCTGACAACACAAAGCCAGAAGGCAAGAGGAACAGGAGATGTGTGCCTTTGGTTCTGCTGGGAAGAGAAAGTTTTCAATTAGAAAACTGGGTCTACCTTGGCTTTCTTCTTTTATGACAGGTAGCCTTTCACTGCTGGAGTCTCTAAAGGGCACTTAACAATTAGTAAATCACTAATAACCTAAAGGGAGCTCTGATGGCCTAGTGGTTAAGAAACTGAACTGCAATCCCAAAGGCATACAGCTGGAATCTACCAGCTGCTCCCTGACAGAAGGATGGGGCAATCTCCTTCCACGTGGTTAACTGCCTCTGAAAATGCACTGGAGGGGTCAGCTCTGTGTCAATTCTGATTTGACAGCAAACAACAATAGCCTAAAGGTTAATGGTTTATAAGACACACCTGGAGATCTACTTCCAAAAAGTCAATTAGTTCATTGTTGTTGTTGTTACGTGCCGTGCCTTAGAGTTGCCTGTGACTCATAGCGACCCTATGTACATACAGTAGCCCTAAACCCTGCCCTATCCTGTGCTAACCTGTCTCCGACAAACCCACCCCAATTACCCTTGTCACTGAATCAATCCATCTCATCGAGGGTCTTCCTCTCCTCCATCCTCCCAAGCATGATGTCCCTCTCCAAGAACTGGTCCCTCCTTACAACATGTCCAAAGTATGTCAGACAAAGCTTCAGAATACTTACCTCCAAGGAACAGCCTGGTCTCACCCTCTCTAGGATAACCTCTTCATTTTCTTAAGAGTCCATGGTATATTCAATACTCTTCTCCAACACCACAGCTCAAAGGCATCAATTCTCCTTCTATCCTCCCTAGTCACTGTCTAGCTCTCTGACTCCTACCAAGTGACTGGAAAGATCATGGCCTGTACCAGGTTCACCTTAGTCTCCAGAATGACACCATTGCTCTTCAGTACTTTGGAGAGGTCCCTAACAGCAGACTTTCCCATCACAGTACGTCTTTAATTTCCTGGCCGCTGGTGCCAAGAGTGTTGACTGTGGAGCCAAGCAAATTAAAGCTGTTAACACTCTCCATCTCTTTACCATCCATCCTGATGCTGCCAATTGGCCCAGTGGTGAGAATTTTTCTTTTCTTGATATTGAGCCTCAATCCATAATGAAGGCTGCAGTCCTTGACCTTCTGCGGCAAGCGCTTCAGGTCCTCCATTATCCTATAAAATATATCTCCTCTGCACATATGAGAGGCCCATAAGTTGATACGGACCTGAAGACAAGTTCAACAATCTTTTTTTTTTAAGTTCAACAAACTGAATGCCATACTTGGAAAGATTTATAAACTACAAGTTGTAATTTATTTATGGTCTAGTTTTACAAGTTACATGTTTAATTGCAATCCAGAAGTCATGATACCGCAGCCTGGAAGTGTCTACTTCTTGATAGAAAGGTTGGTGGTGTGAATCTATCAGCTCCGCAGTAGGAAAATTATGTGCCTGCCTGATTCATACAAATGAATAAATTCCTACTGGAAAGTTCCACTGTCCTACAGGGTAACTTTGAGAAGATAATCAACTAAGCAGCACTAAAAGCTCATATAGTAACCTTGACAATTTAGACATAAATGTCTCCACCATGTCACTGAGACTAGAAACTTCTCAAGTAAGCCTCAGACACCACCTCTGCCTTGTCAGCAGCACTTTTTAAATGTTATCCCATGTGCTCCTGAAATCTTCAAGTCATTGACAGCTTGAAATAACCTACGCATACATAACCTTAAGCAATTACATGGAAATAACAATTACATGACCTTTGTAAATAAATCTTTTTACTTTTCTAGTACTGAAAAGACAGAGAGACATAAAACACTCAATTTGGAAGACATGAAAATGTAGGAGACAATATTTAATCTGAAAATGGCACAGCAGTTACCCCTGAATCTATCAAAATTCAGGGACAAGAAGCTGGCTGCACTGCAATCCCAGAGGTGCACAGTTCGAATCCACCACATGCTCTGCTGGAGAAGGAGGGACAATCTCCTCCTGTACCAGTCAGATCTGATTTGACAGTACACACGCAAAAAATAGTAATAATAATACTAAAAAAATTAGGGAGATAAAGGTCAGTCAGGATCAGCATAAAAAGGATTCACCTGACATGGAGGTCAGTGAGACCTCAACCCTGCCTATGATTTGATAGCTTTGACAGCACCTACGATTTCCAGGGAAATTGGTAATTCTCTCCTGCTTTCCCTAAGTCATTGCAGAGATAACACAGTACTCACACAGCATCCTCACAGTTAAGTGGTGGATTAGGAAGTGTGGTGTTAATACTTTGTGTGTGTCTGTCAATACTTTTGAAAATAGACTTCCTGCCATTAATTTAGACTTGACGAGACAGCCGAGTGGAAATGTGTAAATAAAATGAATTTTGAGGTTCCAATTGTTACCCTTAACTCCCCTGGAGGCATGGTCTCCAGGGCCTCAAGTGCAGACACGTGATTTGTCAGTGATAGCGTCTTCTACATCAACAGCTCTGAGGCCAATATAACACAGTGAACCAGCCATACTGTGAGGAGACTGTTGTGAGGTGAAGCCTAATGGAACCCTGGAGAAGGAGCCACAGTTAAAGGTTTTGCTGCCCTACAACTGTAGGAAGAGCTGACCTGAGACTGCTGAGACACAAGGCTTGCTGGATGAATGAGGAAATCAGAGACTTTCTTGAGTTTGTGTTGCTAGATTTAACCTAGACTTTCACTGTGTGATTCCTTTTGCCTTCCCCATACCCTGCCCCCAACTTGTTTCCCTTATAAGCCCTCCAACTATATAAAAAGAAAAAAATGAGACCCTCTGTTTAGCAGAAACGGTTACAGCAGAGTGAGGGGCTATGTCTGACCTTGTGGTTATTATTTTGGTACTGTGGATGTTATTAATGGGGACAGTTCCTTTTTGTAGAGTTACTAGTGTTTGGACTTGGCATTCCCCATGTTTCCTTAGCTCCTTTAACAGGAAGGAAATGGTGTAGCCTAGGATCAGGACCAACAGACTACACTTGATGATCACAATGAGAAAGCATTTTCTCTCTGCAGCACATGAAGGCTCTCCAAGCTCCTCTCAATTCCACAGGTTCAGAAAGGTGATCGAATTGGATGACACTGAGCCATCCAATAGGTTCAGGTTAATAATTGAGTGAAGACCCATTACCATACAGGGACTTTGGAACACAGCAGGGGAAAACTGCTAGAGAGAACTGGGTTTTCTAGCAACAATATATCACAGAGAAGAAATTCCCTAGGGGAGGTGCAAGACTGTAAATCTTCAGAGAAGTCACCTTCATGGACTGTTTGACAAGTGAAATGGCCAAGTTTGTAGTCAGCAAGCAAGTGTATAACAACTGGGTTCCCACAACTCCTGGCACACAGAAGTTGGCCAATACATATGGAGTGAATGAAAGAAAGATAAGAAGCATATACTCACTCAGGGAGAGAAGATTTTTATATAATTCCAGCACCACTTCTCTGTACAAATTCTTCTGCTCAGAGGTCAGAGTCTTCCATTCTGCCTCTGAGAAGTTCACACTCACATCCTCAAATGTAACAGGTTCCTAGAATGAGACAGAGTTTAATATGTGGTATGTAACATAAGTTCTCCATCTGAGAAGTTCAACCACTTCTTTTCTGTGAATGGAGTTCTCCATATACATTCGGCTGCCTAAGACTAAAACCTAGCTTTGTGATAAAGTCTGAGGGGAGCAATAGATAATACCAAAACACCTCCAACTCCTCAAGCCATGAGCATTTATTAGAAAAAATTATTTTGAGGTCATAGAAAAAAATTATTTGTGAACCACTATGAAAGAATTACGTATTATTCAAAACTATGACTTTGGATTTGATAATAAAGGAATTGCAAGAAGAGGAAGCATGAACAGGGCATCATGAAAGTGGCGCTTGTGCTAAGTATTCAGGGATGGTGAAGACTGTGAAGCCAAGCAAGATGAAATTGTTAACAACCTCAATCTCTTCTCCACTTATCATGTTTCTGCCAATTAGCTCAGTGGTGAGACTGTCTTCTTGATGTTGAGTTTCAATCCATATTGAAGGCTACAGTCCTTGACCTGCAGCAACCGCTTTGGGTTTTCCTCAGTTTTAGAAAGCAAGGTTGTGTCATCTGCATAACACAGGTTGTTGATGAGTCTTCCCCTAATCCTGATGCCACTCTTCCTCATAGAGCCCAGCCTCCCAGATGATCTATTTTGCATATAAATTGAAAAGGTATGCATCACTGACAAACTCCTTTCCCGATTTTGAATCATGCAGTGTTTCCTTGCTCCGTCCAGATGACTGGACTGCTTCCTGGTCCAAGTACACGTTTTGAATTAGCGCAATCAAGGGTTCTGGGATTCCCATTCTTCTCAAGGTTAGCCACAATTTGTTGTGATCCAGACTCAAATGCCTTTGCATAGTCAGTGAAACGCAGATAGACATCCCTGTGGCAATCTCTGCTTTTGGTGAAGAGCCATCTGACACTGGTCATAATATCTTTAGTGCTACACCCTTGTCTAAACTCAGCTTGTATTTCTGGTAGTTCTCTGCCGATGTACTGTTCCAGTCATTTTTGGATAGTCTTCAGCAGGATTTTGCTTGCGTGTGATATTAATGCTATTATCATTATAATATATATAATTTAATATAATAAAAATATAATATATAATTATATCTATAATAATATATAATATATAAATAAAATACAATAATATATAATTATTATTATTATTATAATTTCCACATTCTGTCTGGTCACCTTTTTTTGAAATGGGAATAAATATGGATCTCTTCTAGTCAGTTGGCCAAGTAGCTGTCCTCCAGATTTCTTGGCACAACTTGGTGGACATACCCAGGGAAGCATGTTTGTTGAAATATGTCAACTGGTAATCCACCAATTCCTGGGTCCTTATTTTTTGTCAGTCTTCCTTCAGAGTAGCTTGAACTTCCTCCTTCATCACCATTATCTCTTGAACATATATTGTTTTATAAAATTCTTGTGTATCAGTCAATTCCTTTTGGTATACTGACTCTGTGTATTTCTTTTTTTTCCCAATATAATAATTCTTTTATTATCATTTACATCTTTTAATACTAGCACAGCATTCTTAACTTGCCAAGCATAAGTTGCAACTGAGTAGAAAGGTTAAAGTCTACTCAGATTTTCAGAACAGTTGTGTGACTCTGTGTATTTCTTCCATCATCCTGGATCACTCAACGTTCTGCTCATAGCATCCTTTATTGCAACTTGTGTTTACATACATAAAAAGACAAGAAAGAGGTTAATTTAACATGTAATGAATTAAATTAAATGTGTTCCAAATCAGAAATAATGACAAATTTTCTCTGACTTTATATGGATTAGTGGTAAGGAAATACACTGCAACCCAAAGGTACAAAGTTAGAATTCACCAGCTGCTTTGCAAGAGAAAGATGGGCATGTCCTCCTGTGAGATTTACAGCCTCTGAAAACCCACTGGAGTGTCGGCTTATAAGTCAGTCAAGTATTCAACAACAATTGACATGGTGGATATAATATTGTGTCATAATTTAATTATTTGAATTGTTATAGTTGGCTGCAACTTAGTCTCTCCTGAATCAGACATTATCAAAACCAATTGTTGTAACCAGGAATTCGGTTTACTCATATTATTTTATTATTATTATTATATTATTATTATTACTACTACTATTATTATTATTATTTTGTTATGTGTGTACCATCAAATCGGATCTGACTGGTACAGGAGGAGATTGCCCCTCCTTCTTCAGCAGAGCATCTGGTGGATTTGAACCGCACACCTCTGGGACTGCAGTGCAGCTTCTTGCTACTAGGCCACCAGAGCTCACCTCATATTAATTTTTAAGTTACCAATCAAATGTTTGGGAACGTCAATATCATCTATGTGTATGTTTAGCAATTTATTATGTTTGTTTACTTGTTCTCTGACTCAACATTGTGAGGTATGTTTATTTTTCATTTACTCATTCATACACATTTTGTTTTACAACATTAATTAAAATATTCACAATGTAATCTCACTTCGACCCAATAATTCTGATTTTCCTCAATCCTTCTATTCTACTGTTTTCTTCCTTCAGAGAATTATGTTTGGGTAAATGCTGCTCTTTTACCTCATACATGTGGATACTCTAAACAGTGAGCAATTCCCTAGTTTTAAAGTTCAAATTTCATTTTTTTTTCTTTTATTTTGGCTTCCATACAAAGTTTGTATAGACTGTATTTCATTCATGTACATTGTGTTTCACATATTCTTTAATTTGCATTGTGTTTCATGTGGTCATTCCCATACATTTTTTGGTAAAATTTACCACCACTGATCCAGGCTCACCATTACCCATCTGTTAAGGTCCCCATTGGACCTTTACTAATTCCTTCACCTCCTCCTTCTGACCCCCAACTCTGCAACCTCGTGATTTTACCCTATTCCCTCCTCTTCCCCTCTCGGGACTGTCATACTCATCTGACTACTTTTACAATAATGGCCTTATGCAGTATTTGTCATTATGTAACTGAGTTAGTTCACAAAGCATAATGTTCTCCAGTCTTTCTCATATTATGTAATATTTTTCTTTCTTTTTTTAAAAATTTTTTAATTCTCACCTTATTTTATTATTTTGTGTGTGTGTGCCGTCACATCAGATCTGAGTGGTACAGGAGGAGATTGCCCCTCCTCCAGCAGAGCATCTGGTGGATTCAAACTATACACCCCTGGGATTGCAGTGCAGCTTTTTGCCACTAGGCCACCAGAGCTCCCCTTGTAGTAGTTTTCAAAATCATTGGTCCTAAGTACTGTGTAGTGTCCCATTGTGCGAATGCATCACAATTTCTTAATCCAATCCTTTCCTGATGGACATCTGGGCTGTTTCAATGTTCTTGCAATTGTCAATAATGCTACTATGAACATCAGTGCACAGATCTACATTTGTGTCTCGGTTCTACTTTTCTCGGGATATATTCCCAGCAGTAGAACAGCGGGGTCATATAGAATTTCTATGTTCAGCTTTCTGAGGAAACACCTGTACCATTTTACAATCCCACCAACAGTGTATGAGAGTTCCAATCTCTCCACGTTGGGTCCAACATTTATTACCTGTTGTCCTGCTAAACTTTGCCATTGCTGCTGGGGTGAGATGGTATCTCATTGTGGTTTGATTTGCATCTCTGATTGCCAAAGATTTTTAACATTTCTTCATCTATCTGTTGGCCATCCAAAGGTCTTTCTCTGGGAAAGTTCTATCCATGTCTTTTGCCCATTTTGTAATTGGGGCTTTTTCTTGTGCAAGTTCTGCGGCATATTCTGCAAATTTCGTTATGAGATCCTTGTCTGAGATGTCATTGCCAAATGCTTTTTCCCAGTCGATCGGGGGGGAGGGGGTCCCCACCTTTAAAAGTTTTTGATGCACACAGGGACTCATTCAGTTTAACTTTTAAGCCACTCTAAACATTTAGAATAATAAAAAAACTTGCCCAACAACAACCAAAAAAAAAAAAAAGACACATTTCAGGGAACTACAACGGTGCATGCAGTCACAGGAAGTCTGTGCCCCCAAGATAAAATCGGAGGGGGGGGGCTTTAGCATTTGCCTCTCTATTGTAAACAGGGGGTGTGGGTTCATTTACAACTCAAAGGGCTGCAGGGTCTGAATAACCACGTCCATCTGGGCGTCCCTGTCTAATCCCAACTACCAACATAAACTCATCCTAGACGCAGGTGGGGAAGGCAGGGTGGCGCGGGGCCCGGGACCCCAGGACCCCCGGCGGCGTCTCCCCGATTTCCTTCACACACACGGCAGCCGCCGCAGGCCCCGCCTCCTCCCCTCCCAGCAGCGCAGGCCTCGCCCCCTCCGGACCCCTCCACCTCGGGCCGCGATGCGGGGGGACACCCCCTCCCCTGGGCGCCCCGTCCCCGCGGGGAGAGGGAATCGAGGCCCCGGAGCCGCCAGGGCTGCGCCCGCCCATCCAGGCCTCGGCCGCGGGAGGGGCCCGACCCCCGTCACAAAGGGGCTGCTGACCCCCGACGTCCACCTACCGGACAGCGGTCACTGCGGCCACAGGCGCCCCTCTGCGGATGCCCGCTCATCATAACCGAATAGGATTCTCACTGAAACCTAATGTAGTGCGACCCGGAGGGAAAAAAAACCATGTCCCCCCCCATCCCACTGCGCGTAACCGACAGGTCCCGCCCCTCGGCGCTTCACTTCCGGTGCCACAGGGAGCTCTTCCTGTGTGACTTTTCTGACTCTTTTCCCATCTTGTCTATGGATCTTGGCAGAAAGCAGAGAGTACCCGAGGAATGTTGTTCTTTGTTTCATTGGCTGGGCAAAGGCATTTGACTGTGTAGGATCACAACGAGCGAGGCTAACCTAGAGGAGATTGGGAATCCCACTTGATTTGTGTTTATGTGAAACCTGTACTTGGACCCAGAAGCAGTGGTCAGAACAGAGCAAGGAAAGGCAGCTTGGTTCAAAAATCAGGAAGGGAGTGTGTCAGGGATGCATCCTGTTTCCAGACCTTTCCAATCTGCAGAACAGATCATTCGAAAAGTTAGGCTTTATGAGGAGTGTGGCACCAGGATTGGAGGGAGACTCATCAACAACCTGCGTTATACAGCTGACACAACCCTGCTTGCTGAAATTAAGGAGGCCCTGAAATGCTTGCTATGAAAGGTCAAGGACTGTAGTCTTCAATGTGGATTAAGGCTTAACATCAGGGAAACAAAGATTCTCACCACTGGGCCAATTAGCACCGTGATGGAGAAGAGATTGAGGTTGTTAACAATTTTACAGCTTGCTTGGCTCCACAATCAACACCCTTGGCACCAGCAGTCAGGAAATCAAAAGACAAATTGCACTTGGGAAATATTGTGTCAAGGACAGTCTAGCGACTAAGGTGCGCCTGTCCAGGCCCTGGCCTTCGCAATTACTTGCTATGCATCAGAGACCTGGACAGTTACTAAGGATGATAGAAGAATAATCCATGCCTTTGAGTTGTGGTGGTGTTGGAAGAGTCTTGAACATACCATGGACCTCCAGGAAAACAAATAAGTCTGTCTGGGAGAGAGTCTCTTCTTGGAGGCTAAGATTTTGAAGCTCTGTCTCACATACTTTGGGCATATGACTAGGAGGGACCAATCCTTGGGAAAGGACGTCACACTTGGAAGGATGGGGGACGGTTCAAGGAGTGAAGTCCCCGTATGGGATGGATTGATACAGTTACTGGGGCAGTGGGGGGTAGGTGTGTTAGAGTGGTAAGACTGGCTCAGGACAGGGCAGGTTTCAGAGCTGTTGTACAAAGGGTCACTATGAGTTGCAGGTGACTCAACGGCAGGACTACTATGGGAGAAAGGTGGGCAGCGGCAGCCCTTTCTGTTTATAACGTCTGGAAACCATCGGAGGACCAGCTTTCAGTCAGAATATAACAACAAATATTCGCTGTCATCGATTCTAACAGACTCACTCTCCATTGGAGTTACGTGCCAAGTTGTTTGTGACTCATAGCAATCCAACGTACATTAGCCCTGAAACTTGCTGTATCCTGAGCCAATCTTATTGTCTCTGACATACTTATCCCATTACCCAGTCATTGTTTCAATCCATCTTATCCAGGGTCTTCCTGTCTAGTGCTGTCCTTTCACCCTTCCAAGCATGATGTCCCTCCCCGAGGATTGGCCCCTCCTTGCAACATGCCCAAAGTATGTCAGACAGAGCTTCAGAATCCTTGCCTCCAAGGAGCAGCCTGGTTTCACCCTCTCCCAGACAAACCTGTTTGCTCTCCTAGCATTCTCTTCTCCAGCATCACAGCTAAAAGGCATCAATTTTCCTTCTATCATCCATAGTTATTGTCCAGCTTTCTGGTGCATAGCAAGTAATTGTGAAGATCATGGCCCAGATCAGGTGCTCCTTAGTCTCTAGACTGACACCATTGCTCTTCAGTACTCTGGAGAGGTCCCTGACAGCAGATTTTCCCCAATGCAATGAATTTTTTTTTTATTTCCTGGCTGCTGGCTCCAAGAGTGTTTATTTTGGCAGCAAGCAAGCTGAAGCTGCTAATAATCTCAATCTCTTCATCGTCTATTATGATGCTGCCACTGGCCCAGTTGTGAGAATCTTTGTGGCTGCAAATCACATGGTGACAGGTTAAGATTAGAGTTAATGTCTTCCTTAGCTGCTCCTAGATTGGAACTGCCAGAGGGGAGCCACTTAGCATCAGCAGCAGGACTCCTTATTTATTACTCCACCAGAGCTTCCATTCCTTCAAAAGAGGGCATGAATGAAGAGATATTTTTTAACATGCAGAAAGCAGAAATTCTCTACACTGAACCAAAAGGCAACATCATGATAGATGGAGAAAAGTTTGTAAGTTTCAACAAATTCATCTTACGTGAATCCACAATCAACAAAGAGAGCTGCCAGATGTGCAGGCTGGGTTTAGAAGAGGCCATGGTTCTAGGGATATTATAGCTAATATTAAATGAAATAGATCTATTGAAGATTTAAAAAACAACAACAACAGCATACTCTTGGCACCAGCAGCCAGGAAATTAAAAGATGTATTGCGATTGGAGAGTCTGCTGTTAGGGACCTCTCCAAAGTACTGAAGAGCAATGGTGTCACTCTGGAGGCTAAGGTCTGTCTGATATAGGTCACGGTCTTTGCAATCACTTGCTATGCATCAGAGAGCTGAACAATGACTAGGGAGGATAGAAGGAGAATTGATGCCTTTGAGCTGTGGTGCTGGAGAACAGTATTGAATATACCATGGACTGCTAGGAAAACAAACAGGTTCATCCAGGAGAGGGTTAAACCAGGATGCTTCTTGGAGGCAAGGATTCTGACATACTTTGGGCATGTTGCAAGGAGGAACCAGTCCTTGGAGAAGGACATTATGCTTGTAAGGGTGGAGGGACAGCGTAGAAGAGGAAGACCCTCTATGAGGAGGATTGATTCAGTGACTGGAGTAATAGGGGTAGGCATGTTGGAGACAGTGAGATTGGCACAGGATAGAGCAGAGTTTAGGGCTGTTGTACATAGGGTTGCTATGAGTTGTAGGCAACTCAACAGCACATAACAACAAGAAGGGAATTTTATTTTAAATAATAATAGGTTGTTCTCCATAGTCTTTAAAATCTGAGCAAATCAAGTTTATTGCTGTGGTCTCTTGGGTTCAAGTGTCCACTACATATCTTGGCTTTGCTCTAGAACCCTGGCTATACATCTGGAACAGACTAAATCAATAGAAACCTTGAAGGCATCTTTGTCGATGACCTTGGGATGCTAGCCAGACCTGGGGGCATCCACAGACAGCTAAAACACACAGACCATTTGGCCCTGAGCCATATTTGTTTGGACAAAGTACTCAGGGGGCTTCCCCTTGGAACTTGCCTATTAACTAGTAACAATTTCTTCTTCTTCCTCCTCTTGTACGAGAACCCTAAACCCTGCTCTATCCTGTGCCAAGCTTATTGTCCCAGACACACTTACCTCCATTGCTCCAGTGACTGAATCAATCCATCTCATTGAGAGTCTTTCTCTCCTGCACTGCCCTTCCACCCTTCCAAGCATGATGTCCCTCTCCAAGGACCAGGACCTCCTTCTAACAACATGTCCAGAATATGTCAGACAAAGCTTCAGAATCCTTGCATCCAAGGAGCAGCCTGGTTTCACTTTCTCCAGGACAAACCTGTTTGTTCTCCTAGCAGTCCATGGTATCATCAATACTCTTCTCCAGCACCACAGCTCAAAGGCATCAATTCTCTTTCTATCATCCCTAGTCATTGTCCAGCTCTCTGACACATAGCATGTAATTGTGAAGACTATGGCCTGGATCAGGAGCACCTTAGTCTCCAGATATATTCAATAGCACAGAAATTATTGATTGGAGTCCTATAGGGTAGGACAAAACTGTAGGAAGAAACTGCTAATAATTACAATTGGCTTAAGTTATTATGGCATTGGCTAAGTCATACCGGACACCACCTAGAATCAAGTAATTACACCTGGGTGGCACAGAACTGGATTAAGTCCTCCGTTGCCTCAAATTAAAATTGGTAACTTGAACAGACCTATGCAAAATACTTCGTGGAAAATTGCTAGTGTATAAAGAAGGAAAACTGCATGTAGAATTTGTCAACTCTTCAGCTGTTATTAAGACGAAAATTGAATTATTAAAACATAAAACTAGAAGTTTGTTGTTTGTGCTTTTGACCCATTTGTATTCCTAATAGGAGAACCTGAGTATAATGAAACCACAAAATTACTGTTGTTGTTAGGTGCCATAAAAATATAACCCATAGCGACCCTATGAACAAAAGATCTGAACCTTGTCCTATCCTGCACCATCCTCATACTTCCTGACACACTAGAACCCATGTGGCAGTCATCGTGTCAATTCTCCTAGTAGAGGGTCTTCTTTCCTTCGTTGATCCTCCACTTTTCCAAGCATTATGACCCTCTACAAGGAATAACCGCTATTAGTAACATGCCCAAAGTATGTGAGACGAAATATCATTCTTGCATCCAGAGAGCACTCTGGCTGCACCCTCTCCAAGACATATTTGTTCTTTTGGCCATCCATGGAATGTTCGGTGCTCTTCTCCAACATCACAGCTCAAAGGCATAAATTCTTCTACTATCCTTGTTCATTGTCCAGCTCTCAGATGCATAACAAGTGTGATCGCAAAGACCATGACCTCAATCAGACGCACCTTAGTCCTTAATAATTCAGAGAGGTACCAAACTGCAGATTTTCCCAGTGCAATGTGTCTCCTTATTTCCTGACTGCTGGCACCAAGGGCATTAATTGTGGATCCAAGTAAGATGAAATTGTTGACAGTTTCAATCTTTTCTCCATCCATCATGATGATGTCTATCGGTCCAGTGTTAAGAACCTTTTTTTTTTACGTTGAGACACAATCCATACTGAGGCTTGCATTCCTTGATCTTCTGCAACAAATGTTTCAAGTTCTCCTCACTTTTAGCAAGAAAGGTTGTGTCTGCATAAGTTTATTGATGAGCCTCCCTCCAATC